TATCGATGTTAGTAGTCCGCACCGAAGTACCGGACGGTAGCCGCACACTGATGTTGTAGACGGACGGCACTGAGTGTCACTCGTGTGTCACGTCCTTATATGGGTAGGGCTACTGCTCACATAATGATAGGAAGGGCAAAAGATCATCAGTTATCGTTAGGCATTCATTCTTGTTGTTGATGCTTGGACACGATGGAAATCCACAAAGCTTCCAAGGTTTTTCTCGCAAAAATTTCAGTCTCGTGTGCTAAGATTATACACATTTCACATCAAATTCTGCGCCATTGTGTGCTTCGAACTTGTGCTTGCCTAACGGTGATACCAAGTTCCCACGTCTTTTGTCGGCTAGATGCTCTCTGACTCTGATGCTCAACGCTCTGCCTGTCTCGGGTGTAGGACGATTCGCACGACCGTAATGCTTTCCACACAGGATCATCGCCGCGCGCGACACACCCTGCGGCGGCTTTTGCCTAAGCAAAACAGGGGAGGAAAGGTTTGCGGCGTGCATTACATGTTAAGACAAGTCAAAATCAGGGAGATGCTGGAGACCGCCCGTGCGAAACGACCGTCTCCCGCCTGTCTCGCCTATATATAAAGCTTTACAGCTCAGACATTCTAATTGATATACAACTCCCCACTTCGCGCAATCTCCTACTTTTTCGTGTGGGCAAACAATACATTGGTCTGATATGCATTCCATGTCGTATAACCTGTTTCGCACTAACTGCTTCCTGATACTATCATTCACCAGCATAACATCATTCTGCAGTTGTGCTCGGACAATGCACTGTCTTATAGCCGCACTAACTTTGTCAGAGATAAAAGGTACGCAAAGTGGGATTTTGTTCTTGTCGTCGCGTATAGTTTGGCTACGAATCGTACATCGTGATTTTCGAGTCTTTAGACATGTGTAGCCGTTACTACGCGCAATTTCTGCTGCCAGCTGTTTCGATTCAAGACGTTCTTGTTCGCCAGTACTTATACAGCCGTTCGATACATGTTCTGAAGAACCGCGCACTTCATTGCTGTAGGATGCGCTGACTTGGCGTGTATTAGGATATTCTTCGAGCTTCCTTTCCTGTACCACTTACGTACCACGAGATAGATGTATCTGTGTGTTCAGGAAGGGAAGCCATCCATCGTGCGGGGTCTCTCTGGTGAAGCGAATGTACTGTGACTGCTGATTTAAGAGCTCGAAACACTCGTCCATTTCGGACTGCGTTGATGTTATTACGCAGCAGTCATCGATGTAGCGACAGTACATTATGGGCAAGCGTGCTAGTACTGGCTCCTCCCGCAAGGGCTGATGCAAGTCGTAAAGGAAGTACAGGAAAGGAAGCTCGAAGAATATCCTAATACACGCCAAGTCAGCGCATCCTACAGCAATGAAGTGCGCGGTTCTTCGGAACATGTATCGAACGGCTGTAGAAGTAAGTACTGGCGAACAAGAACGTCTTGAATCGAAACAGCTGGCAGCAGAAATTGCGCGTAGTAACGGCTACACATGTCTAAAGACTCGAAAAACACGATGTACGATTCGTAGCCAAACTATACGCGACGACAAGAATAAAATCCCACTTTGCGTACCTTTTATCTCTGACAAAGTAACTGCGGCTATAAGAGAGTGCATTGTCCGAGCACAACTGCAGAATGATGTTATGCTGGTGAGTGATAGTATCAGGAAGCAGTTAGTGCGAAACAGGTTATACGACGTGGAATGCATATCAGACCAATGTATTGTTTGCCCACACGGAAAAGTAGGAGATTGCGCGAAGTGGGGAGTTGTATATCAATTAGAATGTCTGAGCTGTAAAGCTTTATATATAGGCGAGACAGGCAGAGCGTTGAGCATCAGAGTCAGAGAGCATCTAGCCGACAAAAGACGTGGGAACTTGGTATCACCGTTAGGCAAGCACAAGTTTGAAGCACACAATGGCGCAGAATTTGATGTGAAATGTGTATAATCTTAGCACAGAGACTGAAATTTCTGCGAGAAAAACCTTGGAAGCTTTGTGGATTTTCATCAAGTGTCCAAGCATCAACAACAAGAATGAATGCCTAACGATAACTGATGATCTTTTGCCCTTCCTATCATTATGTGAGCAGTAGCCCTACCCATATAAAGACGTGACACACGAGTGACACTCAGTGCCGTCCGTCTACAACATCAGTGTGCGGCTACCGTCCGGTACTTCGGTGCGGACTACTAACATCGATATCGCGGTGAATCGAGGGTTGGTTTCTTTTTCGACGTGCATCTCAGTACGTTGTGCATGGGACAACGTCTAGACTCGATGAATACGGGAATGGCGTTTGGCGGCGTAGTCTCACAGATCAAAACTGCAATCTTCTTTCAGGCCTCCGAAGAAACGCAGAGTACTCGAAACGTAAGGCAATAAAAGATTCACAGTAAAAATTTGGGCTCGGCAAAACATCAACATATTCATGAACTGATAATTTGCACCGATCTAATATTTCCAACAATGTTTATTATCATTGAAAAAAGTAGTCCCTTTTCTAAGATCTCAAAAATGTGACGCATATTAATGAACCGATGGCAGATTCAGCTCTGCTCCTCTACATCCAAACACTATGAAAGTCACCTAACTAACTCACTCTAAACACCAGTTTCTTATCCTCGCTGTGAGCGCAAGCGCAATCAGTGAAGGCAAATTCATTCACGCCTACAACAACACCCACCTAGCGTCACTATGGCCGTGCCTCGGCGCGATTTCCGGCTTTAGTAAAGACGACAAAGCGGGGCGGGTCTGCTTCTAACGCCGTTTTCTCGCTTCAAAAGCAAGAATTTGACTCGCAATCAGGCTATAGCTTGGGTGGAGAGTCCGCTTCGGTAAATCGTTGGAAATAAGGGCTCCTAAATTTGCCCAAACACTGCCTTCAAACTTGTACACGAACACCAGCTTCTTATCTTTAAGTTCAAACAATGTTGTCGAATTTGGGCATTTGTTGTGCTTAGGCCCCCTTTTTACATCTTACAAAGGAGCTTCCCAAAATATGAAAGGCAGGTTTAGGAGCCAACACTTAACGAAAGGCTAACGCACTTTGAGTCCCTTATTGAATCCCTCTCCCTCGACAAGCAGCATTCCCAACAGGATCGCTGTTAAGCGCAAAAACATTTCACAGTTTGTAACAAAAGAAAGTTCAATGCTCGTTCATCTTCCGTCCTGGTATAATTTTTCATCCATGCAATCCGCTTATACGGAATCTCCTATTTTCGTCTCTTACACAAATCGCATAGAGTTTTTTACCGTTATAACGGCTAAGCTCTAAAAGGCATTTGATGGCCTAATGTCGTGTATGCTTTATGCCGTTTCTGGGCCTCTATGGACGAAGAACGCATTGAAACATTAGGTCATTCGAATAATGATCCCTTCATAACAAAACCCCTTAGGCATAAGCAAATTTGAAGGTTACATACAACTAACTGGCATACTCGGCTCGCCCTGCCCTGTCAGTACACTGTAATAATTGCCATTTTCGATTTTTTGCACATCCCTGCCCCTGTTCCCACTCATTATGTTTTCATAATCAACATGCCTCCCTTATAGCTCAAAATTAGCAACAAATCGATAAAAGCGATAAAGAGGGCCGATGATCCAAGAAACTGATGTTATGTTCGTAATCAGCATGCTTGCGTACCCCCCCCCCCTCCTTCATACCAACTCCCAACCTCGTAGGTGTAACTTCGCAAAAAAATAGATAAAATCGATGAAAGCAGTGGATAATCCCAAAAACTATTAAGGTGAACGGTAAAAAATGGGGCGCTTACGAAATAAATGGGGGTTTCTCAAGGAAAAGAAGTGATTAAACTTTCCAATTTTGATAGATATTATAATATGTTATTCTCTTTCAGATGATAGCTATATAAGGTCATTTACATAATCGATAATTTTTATACTAGCTGAAATGCAAGTTAGTCGCTTCGATAAATTATGAAGTTCGAGCAGTATCTGCGCAGTGAAACATGTGAGACCCCAAAGTACCACTGCTGGAGTGGATGGTGGGACAGGCACTAAACTCACGACGGCTTGGTGGCCTCAACTTTCAAAGTCAGGAGATATGGCCATTGGCAGCTTCAACAACAAAGATACGCGTTATTCAATTCTTTGCAGGTGAACGCATGTTTTCTAAGCACCATCTGATAGAGCTTTTACGCTCTATCCATCCATGCAGCTAACCTCAGATTTTATCTATCTTCGGAAATATAGGGCGAAACATGATTTTTTGGTCTTTTATTGCACCAAAAATAGCTATTTTTCAGGTTTTTTCGCTTTTTTCCGAAATAGTAAAGAAATCTCATGCATTTAACATATCGTTTGAAAGAGCATGAAGAGCTCTTTCGAATGGTATGTCATTTGCTTTACGACTCTACGGTATAGCAATGCAAGATTGAGTGTTGTTTAAAAAACCCTGTTGGAGTTCTTCACGGCGTCACGCGTACGGTTATGAGGGAGGAGCGGTAATGCGTTGCCAGAATAATAGGCGAAGGTCGGTTATGTAAGCGACCTTTGAGTTGCAGCCTGCTTGTTGTTGGTGAGAACAAAAACCTCATAGTGTAATAAAAATCAAGCTGCCCCATTTTTTACCGTTCACCCTAATATATTGTATTCGTACGCATGCTTACTTACACCCCTGTACCAACTCCCAAACCCGTAGCTCAAGTTTTGCGTATAAATCGTCAAAAATCGATATCGACTGATAACGAAAAGTGGCCTATAACACCCGCCCCGCCCCCAAGTAACGTGTGCCAAGTTTGATCCGGATTAGTTTAGATGTAGAGTGTATTTGGAACATACGTGCATACAGACAGACATACAGACATTCAACTCTATATATAAAGTGCCCAGGCCCAAAGAAGGAACATACAAATCATTAAAACCACAATTTTTCCCTAGGGTTTTCGAAAATCATTCTGAGCCCTTTCCCTTTACACAGACCAGGAAAAGTGCCAACTCACTGTTTCGAAAACGGACGCAGTTCTCGTATTCAAAGTTTATCTTCAATTAGCGTTAATGCAAGAAAAAACCGGTCAGTTTGAAAATGGCAAACATTTGAAGTAAGAAAAGCCAACAACTTTCAAAAACATAAAATCACAAATGAATACGAAAAAAACAAATCAACATCAGTGTAACAACCAACAGCAGATCCAAATCAATTATCACAATACTAATGAAGTCCATACACCCTGTACTTCCCATCGACTGCATCCTCAGCAGGCCTTGTACGCTCTGGACTGGCTCTCGGGGTACGAAGAAGATCCTAAAGGATACTAGTTAATGTCTGATGCTTCAGAGAATTTCGTATACCTGGATATGCTGAACGAGAAGATCAATGGCTACATCATTTTCGCCACCTCGAGGAATTATGACATCTGCCCATTTTTTCGTTGGCAAACAAAACTCTTCAAAAGCAGGCTTTACCTAAACAATAAAAGGATCAGGAAGTGACAAAGGACATACACGACAATGCCCCGTACCGATGAGTGCCTGTTTTGAAAAGTAATGATCTCACTTATACAGTCTGTTCTAATCGGTCAGGCGGAAACGTGAAATTTCGCGCTAGCAGCGCTAGTACTTTGCGCTGCATATGCGAGAATGATGATAGACAAGTCTTGGCGAAAGTTCAAACAGCAAACCATAGACGTGATCCAAAGACGATACCGATGTGCATCGGGTCAAAATTAGCTCGGTCCGCATTGGTACAGACTGTAAATGCTGTTCAAATGAACTAACCTTCTTCGTGTATTGACCTAATACAATGGATAAAGGCCTCTTCCTTTCCACAGTGTCACGTCGCACTAAAATAACCTAATGGATCCCAAATAAACAATCCAAATGATCTCTAATCTACTTTTTAGTTGTTGTAAATGTGTCTTGTTTAACTCACCAAATCTCGCAAAACATTAGCAAGCTGGCTCGCATGGGATGCAGCTCTCTCATAGCATCTAAGCTGTTATCGAGCATAGAATTTACACGACCGTGCCTTCTACGCGACCACCGCCGCGAACGACACACCCTGGGCAGTTTTTGCCTAGGCAAAGCAGAGAGGGAAAAGATTTGCGGCGTGCGTGACGTATTAAAACAAGTCACAATCAGCGCGGCGTTGGAGACTGCCCGTGCGAAAAGACCGTCTCCCGATGTTATCTTTAACACTAAAAACACTGTGCTTTTCTCGAAACTCTCCGCTTGTAGAGAAGACTGGAAGTGGTACACTAGGACAGGATCTTAGACTGGACAGTCTCTCAGACTTTGCGAATCCCTTTGTCAGGAAAATGTCCGCAATGTCTTGATATGCAGCCCGTAGCTGCATCCGAACTAAAATTTCATTTCCAAAGGGTAATGCCTCAAATCAGTGCAAAATTAGTTTGATGAAAATCAAGTCGTACTATTACCTCAAAACAACAAAACTAACAATTGCAGGTGAGTGTAGGCCCTCCTGAACAATTCGTGCGCAATGCTCGTTTCTCCAGATCACAGGTGCGATAAGGTGAGAATGACTCCTCCAGGGTAAAGGGGGTCACAGTGGTCGCAGCCCCTCCAGGGTGAAGGGTGTTTCACTTGGTAGAAAAATTATAAAATGTCGACGGGGGGGGGGGGGGGGGGAGGGAGAGCCATGGTGTTTTCTCATCATTTTTCCTAGTCAAAGTTCATAATTTATTCCTTACCATCACTGGTTATCTTTCTTCTGAAATGTGAACCGAGCTACTGGATCAGCATACAGTTTTATAATATATATTTATAATATATAATATATATTTCTAACCAGCACCTTGTATTTTTTAAAATTTCCTTTTCCTTTTTTACATCGCCCTGCCTGTTTTTGGAATTACCATAGAAGATGTGCATGCGAGAACATTTTCGGAAAGAGTCAGACAATTTTTAAACGTTTACGAATATTTTTAAAAGAAGAAATTCATAATTTCTGTAGATAAACAGCAACGTCAGCAAGGGAAATGTTCTCGAAACCACCTCGTCTTCCGCTTTTAGAGAATATATAGTTTGCCTGAAGTCTGTTGAAAAAGTGCCTGGTGAAGAGTGGATAGTGATTTCTGAAGATTTTCCAGTTTTTAACATAAAAAAATTCATAACTCTTGTAGATGAACATCTTGTTCGCCGTGATGATAACCATTGGAACCGTCTCGTCCTCCGCTTTCAGAAAATATATACTTCGCCTGGGGTCCATTAGAAAAAGTGCCGGGTGAAGGGTGCGTCAGACTTTTATAATGGGAGTGCTCAAGTACAGGTTTTTTTACCACTGTAAAAAGACGTCTGCTTGAGCACCCCCATTATAAAAGTCTCATCCACCCTTCACCCAGGCACTTTTTTAACGGACTCCAGGCAAAGTAGGTATTTTCTGAAAGCGGAAGACGAGACAGTTTTGATGGTAATCATAATGTCGTGCAAGATGTTCATTTACAAAATTTTTTTAATTTTTTACGTTAAAAACTCGAAAATTCCTAAAAATCACTAAGCACACCCTTCACCGCACTTTCTTGAACAGATCTCAAATATGCTATAAGCTATCTGAAAGCGAAGGACGATACGGTTCCAAGGGTGACCATCTCGCCGTAAAAGATATTCATCTATAAAAGCTATGAATTTTTTTATGTTAAAAGCTAAAAAATGCCCAGAAATCACTACTCACACCCGTCACCAAGCACTTTTTTCAATAGACATCTCCATCATTCCTCTACATAAACAATTTACCTACAAATATTCTCCTTTGCTTAACCTTACCTCACTGTTGATTTTTTTCTCGGCTTTTGGTGAAGGGGGTCACCTTGGTCCCGGCTCAGGGGTGAAGAGGGGGTGAGAAAATTCTGACACTATCGCACCTATGTTCCATTTGAGGAGCCGTTAAAGAATTGCACAGTTACACCACATGCTTCCACTCTGAGTGTCGCTATCGGCCAAGGTTCGGGTCTTAGCGAGCCGCCTTGCCTGGGCCCTCGACGCATTCGCGAATGTGTCCTGGGGTGTTTTCCCAAGCTCTTCACCCACTTATGCTTAGAAATACGGTACTTTCCACGCCTCAAGCATGTTAATACCGTATCCGCTGAAGGCGAATGCAGTGGAAGACCCACGAGGTGGTTTCGAGCAGCGCCGACCCTGACGCTCACACTGCAACCTTGTAAGCAAAGGCAATGCATCATGTACAGGGCTTATCAAATGTAGTGCCGCTTGCCCCATCTCCACTCCCGCGCTGGACTTTGCGTCTCTTCCGCGGAACATGCTCTCCTAGTACTTTCCCAGGGCGAGCATAGGATTAAGGCGGAGCCTTAATTGATTAAGAGTGATTAGGGAGTTCCGCAGAAAAGACGCAGAGTCCAGCGCGGGAGTGGAGATGCTGAGGCGAGCGACACTCTTTTGTCGAATTCTTGCCCTCTACCAAAATTAGATCCTTACATTGTATGAAAACTTCTGAGTAAAGTTAGCCCAGCATATCGATACATCTGATAATATCCCAGCTATCTTCTAGAAGATGTTCGTTGATGAGTTGGTAGTTCCACTAACGCATATTTTCAACATATTCTTATTGAATGCAGAAGTGCCTCTTCTGTAGAAGACTGCTATTGTCACCCCTTTACCGAAGACCTCTCTTAACCCACGGCTCTCCGATTATAGACCAATAAGTATCCTTCCTACACCTCGCAAGATATTTGAGAAGATTATAACAAAGAATCTGCTGCTATGGTTAGAGAAAATACATTGCCTTCCAGAGCAACAACATGGATTTTTGCACGGTCGATCTACCGGTACACAGCTCCTCGACTGTCAGTTTGACTAGACAGTAGCACTGAGCCTGAACCAATCTATAGATGCCGTTTATCTCGACCTAAGTAAAGCATTCGATACCGTTGATCACAATTTTCTTTTGGTCAAATTGGAGAGCTTAGGGATCCAGAGGATCTCAGTTAAGATGGCTGGAATCTTATCTTGCGAGAGAAAGTTTTCGGTTCGAGTTCTTGGCAAAATTTCTACGACAAGAGACTGCAAATCCAGTGTTCCACAAGGCAGTGTCTTGTGGATCACCGGATGTCACCCATCTTACTCGTTGTCTACACTATAGATTTACCCCTTTTCTTATCACTGACCCCAGATTAAAGTTTGCCGCATATGCTGACGATGTTAAAATCTATATTGCCTATGACCAGCATGACAAGGCTAATGCGAATATAGCACTATGATGTTCGATCTCTCAGATGACAACTTGGGCTGACATGTGGAATATCGAAGTAAACTATTCCAAGAGCTGCACTATTCCCATTGGAAGAATGCACGCTGAACCAATCGAGAATTTTGACTTCGATTGCAACTTTTTGGTAAAAGATTTAGGCATTTATACTGACTCTAAATTGAAATATTCTAATCATATAGATGAAATTACATCTCGATCGACCCGAATACTTTATGCACTAACGCGCATCGCTCAATGTTCTGATCCTAAAGTACTTGTGAAAATCTACAAAACATTTGTTCTTCCAGTAGTTAAATACTGCAGCTATGTGTGGAATCCAACCTTGAAAAAAGACATTGAAAAAAAAAAGAAATTCAGAGAACCTTTACAAGAATCGTTTTCTACCGTGCCTTTCGCAACGCAAATTATCCTTCTGATTTACCTGATAATAAGACTAGATTACGTATTAGGCCTTAAAACACTTTTCTACAAAAGATTCTTAGCAGATACTTTGATGGCTTTCAAAATTCTTAGTGCTAAGGTAGGTTTAAAACCTAGTAAATACTGGGTATTTCGACCCATCAATGAACGACGAGCCTCCCCCTTTTTCATCTACAGAGCTACAAATTAGTCATATCAATAATGCACTAATTCAGTTCAGCGTATTATGATTCACCAATCACATTGTTTGACGCTTTGATCCTACATGTAGTTAGCAGTTCGTTTGCTCAAAAGCGGAGGGAATGGGAAAGAAAATCAACGTATGTCTGTATGTATGTATGTATGTATGTATGATGGACAATGGATCGACGGACGGAGCAATGGTTTGGTCAAAGGGATCGCTACATCTTTCATCACTCGAGAGTTGATCTCCTAAATCGACTTCTTCATAAATCTCCGCTGTTTTTGAGCATTATGACCTGTTAACTGTTATTCTAAATACGAGATCAAAACCTCTGACAATGTTTTGAACTCAACTGGAAACAATCACGATTTTACTCTACACACACCGTCTATTAAAGCATTTAAATGATAAATACTTATGTTCAACATAGTTCCTGTTCTTTATTTTCAACTCGTTTGTAAATTCTCTAACATGTCTGGGATACGATGCGATCGTACTCTTGAGTATTTTTTCGTCCATCATTAAAATATAATAGCACATCTTTTCACGATGTACTTATATAAATAAATAAATAGATAAACGGATCTTTGTAGTTTAAAATGATTGTCTTTGTGCAAGGAGTAGCTAAATTTTATTTTATGGATGTTTTTGCTATAAATAACCAGTATGTCTATGCCTTTTTTCAAACTCTTCAAACTTTCAAACGGAATTTTCATCATCAATCCTTAGATTGGAATATGCAAAAAGATCATCGACAGAGTTCTAATCTCTATTAGGGTGAACGGTAAAAAATGGGGCAGCTTGATTTTTATAATGTTTTGAATTTTTTGTCCTCACCAATAACAAGCAGGCTGCAACCCAAACGTCGCTTACATAACCGACCTTCGCCTATTATTCTTGCAACGCGTTGCCGCTCCTCCCTGATAACCGTACGCGTGACGCCGTGAAGAACTCCAACAAAGTTTTTGAACAACTCTCAATCTTGCACTGCTATA